GGATCGGAAACTAGTTCTTCAGGTTTCCTTTCCTTGCTTTTGAATCTGAGAACAAATGAAGAATGCTGCAAAGAATTTTGAAAACTTTTATGTAAGAAGGCATAATGCAGTGTTTGTCTCAGTTTGTTGCCACCACGCTGCACTGACAGAAACCCAAATTCAGTCAAGTCTTTTGCATGGTTTCTCAATTCACTTTCATTTAAATCCAGCTTATCGTCGAGTAAACCATTCAACGCTACCTTTCCAAGGTGATTCAATTGCGGGTTTGTAATGGTTTGTCAGGTCTTCGATCTTTTCTAATAGTCCTTTTTTTTTCTATATCTTCTCAAAACACATTCAACCATATCCAAGTACAGTTGAGCTCTGCTTTCTGGGAGTGTGCCTCAAACTCTTCGCATAAAAGGCAAAAGAAGTGCTGTGTTTAGAGGATTGGCCGCTATTTCTCTCAGGTTTTATCTCGCGACATCCGTTGCGAGAGCTTGGTGGCTAAATCCGTCCTTTCTTTAAAGTACTTGGTGACAAATTCTATCACATGCTTTTCAGTGAATCCTTCGATCTGAAGCAGCGCGTCACAACATTTTCTCACCTCTTTTCCAGCTTCTTGTCTTGCTGTTGCAACTATGTGGCATTTAGGGAGTTCTCTTCCTTCAATTAATTTGGAAAACATCGACAATTTCCGGATGGTAACTCATCCAATCCATCCAATATCAATAAAATGCTGGACTGATTTTCACGAATAAACTGAAAAATTGTTGTTTGACTTTTTTCATCGATGCCTAGGGGCAGCAGCTGATCATCAATGGCTTCCCAAACGTCAGAGTGGATATCTCGACATTTCAGCAACAATACCAATTTTAATGTTGTTGAGCCGCAGCCCTGAGGTGCTTGCTGTTTTGTGGCCCAGTCGTAGGCGTACTTTTACAATAGGTGGTTTTTCCCATACCAGGTTCTCCTTCAATCAACACCGTTCTCGGCGCTGAACACTCTTCATACGGGTCTAGTATTGACGACATGTCAACAAATACGTCAGTGATTTGTCCTCTCGTTTTCTTTCTTCTGACCACTTTGAGCCTTGTAAAAATATTTCCAAGAAAAAACTGAAACTCTTCACACCATGGAAATGGTGAGAGCCATCCCTCACGAGTCTTGTACAGCTGGCGAATTCCATTGATAAGTTCAGTTGGATCAAAAATACCTAGTAGTAGCAAAATAAGTAAGAAATCTAATGAATGCAGCGTTGAAAATTATGATACCTCTCTGGTATTCGGCACTGAATTTAAATATGCGAATGAGTATGATACCGTTGCCAAAGAAATTACTAGGACTACGCAAAAAGGTTTTAGTGTATGATTCATGCTTACTGATTAAAAGCCATTTAGATTATGAATTCAGTTGAACCTCCTCTGTTTGTTCGGCTTTACCGGTGTCTAACAGTGAATTTCTGTTGTAAAATAAATTACACGGGAGATAGATATTCATATTATTGGAGCCATAATCTGAGCAAGGCTTTTTCGGGATATAGCGAGACTACGAACTAATAAATGAAAACCAAACAACGCCTTTCTGCCTTCTTTGTCACGCGGTTTCATCACAAATGTTGCAGAAAACTGGAGGCTCGCCTGCGATGAAGTGGAAAGTTTTGCCAACAGTCTTTTCTTCCTCAGGAAATGTAAAATAACCACATACATCTTATTCTAACCTATTTTACTAGAGATGATCCTCATTCAACTATTTTCCCATGTAGAATTGAATACTTCACAATATGAGCGAAGGAAGGGTTTAGTTACTTTATTCAGAAATATGCGGATCACATTTAATGCTGCTAGGTATTCGGCACTGAATTTAAATAAGTGAACGACTTCGACACCATTGCCAAAGAAATTACTTGGACAATGACGAAAAGGTATCAATGTATGATTCATGTTAATTTAATGACCAAAGGCCATTTAGCTTATAAATGCCGTCGAACCTGCTCAGTTAATTTCGAACATGGAGCCGAACTTAATGCCAATATTTTCGTCAAAACTGTACTTTATTTTTATAGCGTTCTCCCTTCTAATAAAAATGTAATGTTTCCGGGCTAATTACGGGTGAAAGTTTAAATAATTGAAGGGAATGAAAGCACACCACAGAGACTATTCCAGAGATTGTTTAAATTGAAAAACTGAATCTCTCTAAGATAGGATGATCTCTCTCTTACATACAGTACATTGTTAACTACGGCTAAATTTGCGGTTAAGCAGGATAACTTTTATTGTATAATTCAACTGACCTTCATTCTTACTTTCTCCCACAGGGGTTGCCAAAGTACACAGCTTTTCCTTCACTTCTTTAAGTTCATTGTCCATCTTTGCCATTTCGCTTCTCATTTTCTCAAGAGACCCTTTCGTGGAATAACATTGGAAACTTTTAGTCCGAGTGAGAGTCACTTTATATATTAAAAGTTAACTAAATAGATCCTTTTCCCTTCCTTTGTGTTTTCTTTTTATTCTATACAACATTCTAAAAAACCTTTTGGCCCAGCTTCAGCGGTTTCTAATAGTGAAACCTACGATATAAATATTGATATCATTGGAGCCGATAGTCTGAGAAAGATTTTTGTCAGTAAAAGCGACATTGTAAGAACTAATTAATAAAAACCAAAGAACGCCTTTCCGCCCTCTCATTTCTCCTTAGGTCTTCAACAAAAGTAAAATTAGTATAAGGCAATAACCTTCTCGGCTAAATATGTATGAGTGCTGTCAGAAAACTATCCAACACCGTGAGGTAGTCTCATATCCATACCATCCCATTCATCCCACACATTACCAAGTATCTTCATTTATAGCCAGAGCAGGTTAAAAGCCAAGGTGTACTCTTACAACAATACATTACCTAAAAAAATGTTAAATTGTCTGACATCACGCGAATAATGTGGTCATGCTCAGAAGATGTGTTAACAGAATCCCTGTTGATAGTTCAGTTTATGTGTGAGTAGCTCTTTCTAGTAACCAACCTTCATCTGTGCTTTTTTCCACTGTGGTCGTCAGGCTTCTAAGCGTCTCTAAAATCTCCTTCATTTTAAGCTCTATCTTCTCAGTTGTGTCTCTGAGGTCGTGCCTCATCTTTTCTCGCGAATCTGGAAATGTAAGAAAGATAGGCGCAATTTCATAAGCACGTTTAAACCACAGATTTATGTTTAGGCGCAGACAAAACAATGAAACGTATATCAATATCTAGTCGATTCCGAATAGATCAAACCCAATGAGACGCTTAGAAATTACAAAAATGCACTCCAGCAGTTATACACGAGCACCCACGAACAGAAAAAAAAACTGCCGATGAAAACAGTGTGAACATTTGGGTTAATTCTTTATTTTTCACACATAACGCTAGAATAACGTTCCAAGTATGTGACTGGTTCTGTGACGATAGGTTTTCGCTCGCTAGCTGGAAAACTGAATCTTCGCGGACGGCACAATAACAACTGGGGGAAATAACTCTGAAGAGACGACTCGGCAGCGAGAACGGAAACTCGTCACGATTTCCTGGTACACGGAGATCTACTTCGAGCAAGCTTATACGGACGTCAAGGATAAGACAATCTTTGGTTCCACAGTACTTTTTATTCTAGGTCAGGCCAACAAGCGACATGACCTCTAGCATACTCTAGTTTGTAATCATCAAAGCCGTACAAGGTACTTGCTTAAGAAGTAACTGGTGTGAAGTGCTATTGTTACACAAATCGCAATATTTGATTAAGGACACAAAGGAGCGAAAAAAGTCTCTTTGAAGTTAAATGAAAACTACTTAAATATTCCATCTGTTTCCATGACGAAAAGAATCTCAAAATTAAAAAGACGGATGCAATAAACCCTCGGCCATTAACGTAGGAAACTTAGGTGCGAATTTACATCTCTGATATAGAAAACAATACCTATCTTAATTGCAGCAGCGCAGCTTAGGAAATAAAAACGGAAAAGCAATCAAAAGCTTCTACTTATTTACGCAAGGTTGGTTTGGAAACCATCGCATGAAAAGAAATTAAATTTACGCGTTTAAACTCAGCTGCTATCTACCATGAGAACCAATGTTTCCAGATAGACCATCAACACTTATATTTACTTTAAAAACCATGTAATAAATGACAAAAGTGCCGACAAGCAGGTGCATGTGATGAAAGCGAGTAACAACAAAAATCTATTCAAAAGCTAATGTGGTTTTTATGCATTTTTTTGATTTTTTAAAATGAAAGGACTTGAAATGGTTAAATGTAAAAGTTTACGAATAAATATGCTCCGAATAACACACACGGGAAAATCAGTAAATTTTCCCGTAACATTCCGTCCAAAATGAAAACATCATGAGTTACCCAACACCGGGGTGATTCAAAGCTGGAGAAATCTAGAGACCCGCCTGCGATGAAGTGGGAGGCTTTGCCGACAGTCTTTTCCTCAGGAAATGTAAAATAACCGCATACATCTTATTCTAACCTATTTTACTCAAGACGATCCACATTAAACTATTTTCCCATGTTGGATTGAATACTCCACAATACGCCAGGAAGAAGGATTTAGTTGTTTCATTCAGAAATATGCGGGTCACATCTAACGTTACTAGGAAGTTATGTTCATTATAAGAAAGGTAATACTAAAACAAGACGATGAACTATCCCGACTACGATGATTCTTAAGTATGAGTACTTTCAAAACACCATCAAATCCGAGAGGTAGCCAGGGCCAAATCTCAGATTCCGTGGCATCCCACACATTACATAGAATCTTCATGTAAAACCAGTGCCAGTAGTGACTGGGGTGTGCTCTTAGACTAGTAAAGTATGCTGTGTTGGCCGACATCCAGCGATTACCGTCGTCATTCATATGAGCTGCGTTATGTACCCAAGAAAACAGTGTCGCTCTAAACAATTTCTTTTCTTTCGCTGTGAGTAGCTCTCTCTACCAACTAACCTTGTGCGCTTTTTCAGCTGAGACCGTCAGACTACTCAGCTTCTCTTTCACCTCTTTCACTTCGATCTCTATCTTGTCAATTGTGTCTCTCGTGTTATCCAGGGAACCTGAAAATTTTAAAAGGTATGCGCATTTTCATAAGCAAATTTATATCACAGCTTCACGTTAGGTGCAGATAAAGCAATGATACGTATATCAACATCTAGTCGATTCCGAATAGATCAAACGCAATAAGACGCTTAGAAATCACAAAAATTCACTCGAGCAGTTGTACACGAGTACCTACGAACAGACAAAAAATACTGCAAATGAAAACATAGTTTGAACATTTGGATTAATTCTTCATTTTACACACGTAACGCAAATATACCTTCCAAATATGAGACTAGTTCCGACCATGATGAAAACATCATGAGCTGACCTACACTACCGTGTTAACTGGAAAAATACACTTTTGTAGCCTTCTGATTCATCCACATTGGCAGTGGATAATGTTTTTCTTACTTTCAATTCCTTCAAGCCTGTCTTTGATGTTGTCGTCGTCTTTCTTCCATTGTTTCATCAGTTCACGATAATGCTCCTCCATATCTGGATCCATGCAGTCGTGCTCAAGATTGTCGATTTCAGTTCTAAAATGAGCTCCTCCCAATCTCACCAAAGCTTCTCGTATTTTCTGCCAATCAGCACTGAAACTACTGTCATCCACAGAGGCTTGAGAAGCATGGCCGTATACAGTGTTCCTGTAATACTTCACTCTGGCGATGTCATCTTCGATGCGTATGTCTGTAGCTGGGGGAAGCTCATCCCATCCCTTAGTAGGAGTGCGCAAACTACAGATATTTCTAAGCAGCACTGTTAGGAGTGTGATGTCGAAGTCTTTAGAAGACACAGCTTTGTGAGTAGGGTACAACTTTCCCCATTGCTTGGGATTCAGCACTTTCTTCTTCCCTTTGTACAGTGACTGCAATTTGGCGTAATGCACTGAGGTACACCCCAAAACTGTATGTAGCGTCGCTGGTGGATGTATTTTGTCAAAAGTGGACCGGAGCACCTGACATCCAATATCCACCAGGAGGCGGCATAGCCTTGCATAGTTGGTTGTCTCTTTCGTAGACGCAAATGGCGATGGAGCCGTACCCATGAAGCTGAATTTATCAGAATGACCTGTCAAACATGGAATAGACACTAATTTATGGGAATTAAGACCATTTGAAAAAAAAAAAAAAACCCGATAGCCAATTGAGACCAGAAATCGTTTAAAATCGTGATATCATTTGTTAAATCCTTAGGAGCACGAAACACCAACGAAAAAAAAACTATTTTGTCGACTTAATAAGAGGTTTAATATGAGGTATTAGATCTCAACACAGTTTTTTTTGGATTAAGAAAGATTTTTTTTTTAGTTTGCAAAGTAACAACCAGAGACATAAAGAGCAGAAATGAAACGCGATTTAAAGGTTAAGGGGAAATAAGTTTTATTTCCCCTCGAGGGCCTTAAACCCGGTCAGTTCTGGCTGGTTGACGTTTGATTCTTAATCATCATCATCATCATCATTTTATTTGGTGATGCGGGTTACAAATTGGCAGCCAGGAAGGCTGATGTGAACCTACAAATCACTAAAATAATTAAATGATATATACTGTACTGCTAAAATAAAAAACCAATATAAAAAGAGAAACCTAATCCTAAAATTTAGGAGATAACTAATAAAATACCCTATTTCGCCTAAGAAGCATCTAATAATAAAAGTAATCACAGATCCACCAGCATTAATACAAAAGCTGCACCTGTTTTTACTACTTCATGCAGCATCACAAAGATCTAACCATTGCCAGCGTAACCATTATACCTAAACCTTAAAACCTCTTTAACTCCAAAACGATCCACAAGCAGACACAAATATATAAACTGCAGTGAAACATCAAAGCAAGACTGCACAATCTCCATTTACCACCCTGCAAGGATCACTGCTACAACTTGGTCACTTGAAGCATAATTGCAAAAGCATCATCTATCACCATCCCAACAAGGACAAAAACTACATAATCACAAGCAAACTACACTGTGTTAGGAAAATTTTCATCAATATGGGAATCAGTCTGTTACCAGGTCAGTTAATAGAACCAACTCCGTGACTAGACCAGGATATACCAACACAACGAATACGGGAATTATATTACTTTAGGTCACCGTGTTTACAACAATTACTAAATAGCAGCCTACAGCAAGAAGGCACTATCTAGAAAGACTGGGGTATTAACCATCCCTTTCAGTGCAAAACTAAATGTAATTCCTCACATGTATATTACCCAACATAACACCAGGTCTCCCACTCAGCACCCACATTCCTGGATGGAGGAGCAGTTTAAAGGGATTTGTAGATTTCCTACCCAATCGCTATTTCATTATCACACCTGGGGACATTAACAGCATTTTTAAAACTCCGTCAATTTATGGTTTCTCTACTTATTGATAATTAGACCAGTACAACCCTAGGAAACAGATTGCACAGTCACTGATATTAAATGCACTTTTTAAGCCAAAACTAATTCTACCAGACGAAGGTAACTCTAATTGTCACCAATACAATACAGGGTCATTGAAGCTCATGTACCAGTAGAAAACGTGGTTTCTCAGTTCATTGAACAGTGAAACAATAACGTCTAAGTCAACAGACTTAAAAGTCTCTGTAATATTATCACCTTCATAAAAGAATGTGTCCACTGGCAAAAATGTGTAAGAGTACTATTCATTGGAGGGAGCGTGTCATGGAATACCGAACAAGCTCGACCTGATGATGATGATGATGATGATGATGATGATGACTATTCATTGACTCTTAATAGGCCAGTTGATACTATTTTGGGAAGTTATGTACGAACTGTATGAATTGACAACTTTCTCTATAGTATTATCAGTGCAATGGCCTTTTAAAGTTGAAGTATTGCTTGTTTTAAGCTACATTTCTGAAACATTGCATGTTATATTTTAATTTTTTAGCTTTAGATATTATAAAAGAAGGTAATAACTCTAAATATGATATGTCTTTCAGTAAACTCAGTGTTCTTTCTTATTTTAAGCATGACAGGTAAAATAAATTTTCAAACCGGTCAAGCAATCCTTTTACATGTTGAATTTCAAGAATTCCAAGCAATTTTAAACGGTAATTCCCAGCAAATAAATTATAAACCCTTTAACTCCCACATCAAATTTGTAATTCTCCTTACTCCCAACCATACAATTCTTATAAGGTTAGTTCAGAGAATTTAGTATTGAATCAACTAATTATCTCCAAATTTTTATTTTTATTTACTCTCATCATTTATCTGGTTGATATTGTGTTGATATTGTAAGGAGAAATTCTGTCTTGGTCACACATGGCAATTAAAGGGTTAATACAGATTGACAAAGTGAAGGCAAGTTTCAAAAATGAGAAAAAAAAGAGCAGTGTTAGTCCTCCTACCTTGTATAGAGTTTCCTGGGTTCAAGAAAATAACCCTTGAATCAGGGATAAAGTCGGAAAGTCTGAAAAAGGAAGCAGCAGAACAACAGTTACTATATATCAGTTATGAAAGACAATGACAGTCACAAATAAGGGCACTAACAGGTGCCCAAGGTTATAAGTGGTATTAATGGCAACATTTTATAATTAGAACAAAGTAATCTGTATTAACCCTTTAATTGCCATGAGTGACCAAGACATAATTTCTCCTTACAATATCAACACAATATCAACCAGATAAGTGATGAGAGTAAAGAAAAATATAAATTTGGGGATAATAAGTTGATTCAATACTAAATTCTCTGAACTAACATTATAAGAATTGTATTATTGGGAGTAGGGAGAATTACAAATTTGATGTGGGAGTTAAAAGGGTTAATAATTTATTTGCTGGGAATAATTGTGTCCTGTTGGCATATGTTTAGAATTCTCCATGCTCTCATTTCACTTATATCCATGTGAGTATTAATTATTTTGCCTGGTAATGTTATGTCAAGAACTATGCATTATATTAATTAACTATTTAATTATATTGTGATCAATGGTTGTAATTATGTTTGGCTACAAACATGTGGAAATACTCTTAGAAAATTTTGCTGAAATTCTGGTGGTCCTTCTGATATACTGCTGGTTTAATTACTAAGTACAGCTAGGTTTGTGAAGTGCTTCAACTGTATGTTGACTTATGAACATTAACATTCGAGAGACTCAATTTTGGGTCACTGGTTAAGACTTATTAATTCATATAAAATCAAAGGTTAAGCTCCCCTCCTAAAACAGGAATATGGAAGATCTTGTGCAGAGATCTGGTTCCATCCTTGACAAAGTACTTATGGATTAGAAATTTTCACCCCATGCTTGCATGTCTTGGGAAATTAGTACATTTATGCAAAGTGTCTATCATAGGTTTTGCCAAGTTAAACCTAACTTAAGTCCTTCAAGGTACCCTTTGGCAATTAGCGGCTACTATGGTGATTTTGCATAAATTATTTTTTTCATGTGGAGAGGTTACTTTTGATGATGTTTGTAGCATGGATGTTGAAGCACAAAATCTAACCCAATGCTGGATGAATAATGAAGATCATGTAAACAATCCAACATGCTCAAGATATTCATAAATTGCCATCACATATAGCCATTGACAGCCAAAGCAATTGTTTAAAATTATATTTCATCGAATGGCAAGAGCAATCTATATGAGATGGTAAAAATAACCAAAACCATCATGACCTATTCTATTTTACAACTGCCTAAATAGTGAAATCTAAAATATTTCATATCTAGCCCAATCATGAATTTTTGGAATAAGGAGACCCTAAATTGTTTAAAAAATAGTAATCTGAAAGTTGACTTTGCGAGAAATGGCCAAGAGAGGCTGTTTATTTTTGTCCAATGAAAATTAAGTGTATGAAAATAGCTGGCACGCTGAAAGGTTTAAAGTGATTTAAGTAAGACACATGTATTCATTAAATCTGACCAGAAGAACTGAACTAACAGAACTCAACACAAAGAAGAACTTGTGGATAAGATTTTTCCAAAATGGGTGTACTTTGTAAATGAGAGCAAGTAACATTATTTTGTTATGGACATTTCATAATGTCCGTAACAAAAACAGTCCTTTTTTTAATTTTCTCTGAAATTGAAAACCAGTTTTTTTTTGGTCTGCTTGGCTCCTATTTTACTTTCTAGGGGCCCAAACTTGAGTGTTGTAAATTACCAAAATCCTGGAAAAGCGCAAGAAAAAATAAAGCCCACTTTATTTTATGATAATTATGTTGCAGACATTACATTAAGAACATCACATTATAGACATATTATATTATGGACATTGTGACTGCATAACTTTAATTATGGTAATTCTTTTGGGAGAAATAAATGCTACATTGTGGCGTTGTTTATAGGAAGAACAAGACACACACAGGTGAAGTAACACAAGTCTATTTAATCGATGTCCGACGAACTCTACAAAACCGGAAAGCATGGTCTCTAAAGTTTTGTTGCCATGGTAGTTATGACGTAAATGCGGACCGGAAGTAAATAGAACGATAACATCGATATCGTTACATCTCCCTTTCTTCAGGAAACAAAAAAAAATGTAAACGTAACTGAGTGTCTCAATCCTAGTTTAAAATAAAACACAAAAAAAAAAAGAAAATTAAGAGTTTGTCATGTCTTTTTTTTTTGTGTTCTTTCGATAACCCCAATCACTGGTAACGTGTGGGTGGTCGCACAATTCGTCCAGATCGAGTGGTGGTCACCGATGGGGAAATCTCCTGCTTATCTGCTGCAGACTGAGGTGGATATTCCGGATGTGGCTTGTCCGTGTTCTGCAAAGGTACTGTGTCTGATTGGTCCTTACTGACTGCAGTACTTGGTATGGAAGGTGGTACCGATGGTATTTCATTACCAGAATTTGCAGTAGCAGAAATTGGTGTTGCTTTTTGGGGATAATCTCATCCCATCTTCACTGTGTGGCATCACTTCACGTGTATGTCTCAGGTGTCTGCGGTTCCTCCTATAAATTCTTCCATCTTCTGTTCTGACTTGATAGGACCTTATGTCGACTTTGCCTTCGACTCTTGCTTGGGTCCAATCCTTCTTCTTTCCCAAGTGGGATTTTAGTGGCTGCAATCGCACTGTGTCTCCTGGGCGCAGTTCCTTCAGTTCTTTGGCGCCTTGATTGTAGTACAGGGATTGTTTAGCCTTTTGTAGCTTCAACTTCTGATCAACCTCCTCTGGTAGCTTCGGCTTGAGCAATTGGTTTGAGGTTGGGAGTGGAGTCTTTGTTCTTCTACCGAATAATCGCTGAACAGGTGACGAGTTGAGTGTTTCTGTGGGAGTATTTCTCCAGTCCAGCAGGGCAAGATATGGGTCTTGTTCGGACTTGACGGCTTTTTCTAGCAGATGTTTTGCTGTCTTCACCGTGTTCTCGACTTTGCCGTTGGACTGAGGATATGTTGGAGAGCTTGTTATATGTTCAAAACCATAAGTGTCTGCGAACTGTTGGAACTTTGCGGAAGAAAAGGGCTGTCCATTATCCGATACAAGCTGGTCGGGAATTCCATGGCGGGCAAGATGGGCTTTCAACTTCTTCACAACTTCGTCTGCTGTCTTGCTTGTCATTCTGTCGACTTCAAAGAAGCTTGAATAGTAGTCAACGGTCACCATGAAATCTACACCGTTCAGATCAAAAAGATCAACTGCGATTTTCTCCCAGGGTCTACTAGGCAGTTCGTGACAAATCATTGGCTCTTTTCCTTGCTCGACAGGCTGGCTGTTGCAGACGGCACACTTTGCTACATAATCTTCGACATCTTTGTTCATCCCATGCCAGTAGACTACTTCTCTTGCTCTTCTGAGACAGCCTTGGATGCCGATGTGGCTCCGGTGGATCTTAGCCAACATGTCAGCTTTCACGCTCATAGGGATAACTAGTCTTTCACCTTTGAACACCAGTCCATTCTGTAAAGACAGTTCGTCCCGAAATGTAAAGTAACCACTGATGTTTGCTGATACCCCAGCTTTGGTAGCTGGCCAACCTTGCCTGATTGTTCTCTTCAGCTCTCTCAGGGTAGGATCGGATTCTGTTGCTTGCTGAATGGCAATCAGCGTTGGTTCCGATACTGGCAAGTATTGTATCATATTGATGTGCTCTAGCTCTCTTTCAGTGTCTCCTCTCATGTCCTCTATGTACATAACATCTTCTGCTACATCTTCTTTTGTGCTCTTGCGCACTCTGTATGCTCTGCTCAGTGTATCTGCCAGATACATTTCAGTCCCTTTTTTGTAAGACACTTGAAGGTCAAACTTCTGCAATCTTAGCAACATTCGCTGGAGACGTTTAGGCGCACTGAGTAGACTTTTACGGAAGATGCTCTCCAAGGGTTTGTGGTCAGTTTGGATCTTGACAGGTCGACCATATACAAACTGCTCAAAACGTTCTACTCCGAAAAGTATTGCAAGCATCTCTTTCTCTATCTGGGCATAGTTCACTTCCGTTTCTGTCATGGAACGAGATACATAAGCCACGGGCTGGCCTCCTTGCATTAGACATGCACCAAGTCCTCGGTCTGATGCATCACACTGCAATTCCACGTCGTCTTTGGGGTTAAAATACTTGAGGACAGGGGCAGCTGAGAGTATCTCCTTAACTCGCTTGAAACTACAACCTTGTACTTGCTCATCCCAACGGAACTGGTTCCCTTCTTTCAAAAGGTCTCTCATTGGGGATGTAACTTCTGACAGGTTAGGAGCAAACTTCTGGAGGTAATTTACCATGCCGAGAAGTCTCTTGAGATCTTGTTTGCTTGTCGGGGTTGGCATCTCTTTGATACCTTGTACCTTGTCTGGGTCAGGCTTAAGACCATCTTGACATATAACATGTCCCATAAACTTCACTTCTTTGCGACGGAGCTTAAGCTTCTCTTTGTTTAACTTAATGCCAGTGGCGCGGCAGCGTTCTAACAATGCTGTCAGCTTTGCATCATGATCAGAAAGTGCTTCTGTTTCTGTTTCTCCGACACCAAAAACAAGGATATCATCAAATATTGGCTTAATTCCATCAAGACCTTCCAGGGCGTATTCCAATCTCCTCTGAAACTCTTCCGGAGCGGGTGATATGCCGAAGGGCATCCGCGTCCAGCGGAACCTTCCCCAGGGGGGTACCAAATGTGGTCAGAAGACTGCTTTCATCGTCTAGCTGCACATGCCAAAACCCGTTCTTTGCGTCGACGACACTGAAGACTTTAGCATTTGTAAGGAGTGGTAGTAGATCGTCGATCACTGGAAGGGGAAAATGGTTTCTCCTGAGTGCTTTATTCAGAGGTTTTGGGTCAATACATAACCTTATCTTTCCATTGCTCTTCTTAATGACCACCATTGAGGAAATCCAATCTGTTGGAACATCTACTGGTTGCAAGATGCCTATCTTAACTAAGCGTTCTAGTTCCTGTTTTAAAGGCTCTTTTACTGCAAAGGGGGACTTTCCTCACTGGCAGTGCCACAGGGGTTACAGACTTATCAATCTCGAGGTGAAGCTTTCCTTTGAGCTTTCCTTCTCCTGAGAAGACATCTCCGAATTTGCTCACGAGATCCGGCTGTGTGGGAATCTCATTAGAGAGAGACATGATGTTATCGGTGTTAATCACTATGAGGCCAAACTGCTGCACCGATTCAGCACCAAGGAGTGCTGTGTGACCTGTTGGAACGACGGTGTATTCCGTGAGGAAACACTGTCCATTCTTGGGGTTGAAGGTCTCGACCTTAGTACATCCTAGAGGTTTCAGCTCTGATTTGTTGAACATGACGAGGGTAGTTTGAGTAGGCTGGAGGCGTTCCATTCGCGGATCGTTAAATACCTGCTGATAAATATCTGCTGGGAGGATATTGACTGTTGCTCCACAGTCTAACTGGAATTTCACTGTTTCATCCCTCAAGCGCATGTTAGCATAAATCTTCTTTGGACTGTTTTTTGCATAAAGGACGCTCACAGATTCTACACTGAATAAGTAATCATCAGAATCTTCGTCATTAAACTCCTGAACATCTTGTTTCTACATGTGAACTGACTTCTTAGTTTGCTTTTTTTTAGCTTTCTGACTTCTGCAAGCCACTGAGAAGTGGTTCATTCGACCACAGTTATCACACTTGTGCTGCCATGCTGGACAGAGTTCCTTTTTTAAAGGATGGGTTCTGTGGCAGAACTTACATCTAACTGGTTCTGTTACTTTGTTGTGGACGGGGCGTTGAACTTTACTGAAATTTCGTACTTCATTATGGCGTAAACCAATCTTCGATTTTGGGTGGCCTGTGGCAACGGCGCTAACCTCCTCCGCATGGGACATCTCCTTAAGTTGTTTGGATGTGGTTTCACTCGCACGGCAAATATCAATACACTTATTAAGAGTTAGTTTGTTCTCAGCTAGCAGCTTTTTTCGGGTGGCGTTATCTCTAATTCCTACGACAACTCTGTCTCTAATCATTCGCTCTTGCATGATGCCAAAATTGCACGTTTTAGCTAACGAACGTAAAGCTGTAAGGAAAACATCAAATGACTCACCGACCTCCTGTACTCTCTGATTGAACAGATAGGCTTCGTATATTTCATTCGTCTCACCGATGAAAAAGGCGTCTAGAAGCTCTATCACTTTGTCGATGTCGGTTTTCTCCTCTTCATTTCCGAAGGGCAAACCATCGTAAATCTCCAGGATATCTGGGCCAATACATGTCAACAATGTGGCTGTTCGAAGATTACTGATTTGCGTACTGAGCCGTGAGGCGATCTCGTAGTTTGTCCACAGCCGCTTAAATTTCTTCCAATTCACAGCTAAGTTCCCCTTGAAGTCTAGTTTCGACGGTAAAGGAATAGAGGACTGGATAAATTGAGGAGTTGCTGGCTGCGTGCTTGTTGACGCTACGCTCGACGAGCCTGATTCGGTCATCTGGAGCTAGATTCACTGAGTTTGGCTTGAAAATGCACTCAAGTATTTCAGCGACGATTCTGTAGGAAGAATCCCACTCCTGACACCATGTGGCGTTGTTTATAGGAAGAACAAGACACACACAGGTGAAGTAACACAAGTCTATTTAATCGATGTCCGACGAACTCTACAAAACCGGAAAGCATGGTCTCTAAAGTTTTGTTGCCATGGTAGTTATGACGTAAATGCGGACCGGAAGTAAATAGAACGATAACATCGATATCGTTACATACATGCATACCAATTTTGTTCAAATTTATCACATCCAAGTTTTAGTGTTTTTGACTAAACACTAACAACAATAACCATAACAACAACTGTACATTAGCAGTAGCAACACCACACTGACATGAGGAGTATAAATTTTCAAAAAGTTCGAGTCTGAGTGTGAATTAAGTTTGCTGATAGACATATCATATTTAAAGTCAGTACCTTCTTTTTATAATATCTTAAGATAAAAATTAAAATATAGCATGCAATGTTTCAGAAACGAAGCTTAAAACAAGCAATACTTCAACTTTCAAAGGCCATTGCACTGATAATTTTTTTGAGAAAGTTGTCAATTCATACAGTTCAGTGCAGTGTAACTTTCCAAAATAGTATCAACTGGCTTATTAACAGTCAACGAAGTACTCTTACAAAAAGTTCAGAACAATCTAAGTTTAGTAATTAAAGCAGTGTTTAACTACTGCAATCTGCAGTTAGTTTGATCATTTATTTGCATAATTATCGTCATAGTAGCAAATTTACATTATCAATTAACTCAGCTGATAATATGAAATTACTTCATGATTGGGCTAGATATGAAATATTTTAGATTTCACTATTTAGGCAGTTGTAAAATAGAATAGGTCATGATGGTTTTGGTTATTTTTACCATCTCATATAGATTGCTCTTGCCATTCGATGAAATATAATTTTAAACAATTGCTTTGGACATTACACAATGTTTGTTACAGACATTACACTGTGGAACTTTTTTCTTACACTCACTGGTAAGAATAAGGAATAGTTATGTTTATCTAAGAGCTTTTTATAATTGACTTTGTCAGAACTGATAAATTTATCTTAATCAGGCCCAATTACAAGTTAACCCTTTAACTCCCAGAGGTGATTAATGTAAAACTTCTCCCTACAAATCCATACATTATTCAGGAAACAGGTGATGAGAATATTCAAACTTATCAGGTAGAAGCTGCTATCTTCATCTAGCACCAAGTTCTCATAACTAATTTACAAGGAAATGTGTAGCAGCTAGAGGGGAGAATTAACAATTAGATCTTGGGAGTTAAAGGTTAATTCTCTTTTCTGGTTGTGCTGATAACCAAAGCATTAATATCACACTTGGGTGTACATGTAACTGTGGTAGGTGGAGTATCCCATATGGAGCATGCTTCTTACAATTCCATTTTATTGAGCATGCTCTAACTGGTATTTCTGCTGTCTTTTGGTTCTTGCTTTCTGAGATGCAGTACAGGTTTCTAGTGTGACAACAAGTTTTACATTGGAAGAGCCCTTAGGGTCACTGATAATGAGGTTGAAATCAAATTTCTTTACCAAGTTTAGAAAACATTTAACTGGCCTCTGAGGAGCAATATTGATATTGTCCACAAGAGAAGAGTCTACTGTGGCTCCAAAGAGCTGAAAGGCACTGGACCTTTCAATATTCCAGGTCTTTCATATATTAAGAGGATTTTTAAATATCTTTGAAAATAAAATGTTTGCAAATAAATGATCAAATTAACTGCAGATTGCAGAAGTTTAACACTACTTTAATAACTAAACTTAGATTGTTCTGATCTTTTTGTAAGAGTACTATTCATTGACTCTTAATAAGCCAGTTGCACTTGCTCTCATTTACAAAGTACATCCATTTTGGAAAAAATCCTATCTGCAAGTTCTTCTATGTGTTGAGTTCTGTTAGTTTTGTTGTTCAGGTGAGACTTAAGGAATACATTGTGTCTTACTGAAATCATTTTAAACCTTTCAGCGTACCAGCTATTTTCATACACTTTTCATTAGACAAAAATAAACAGCCTTTCTTGGCCATTTCCCGCAAAGTCATCTTTCAGATTACTATTTTTTAAACAATTTAGGGTCTCCTAATCCACAACATTTTGGATTGTTTACATGATCTTTGTGATTCGTCCAGCATTGGGTCAGATTTTGTGCTTCGACATGCTACAAACATGTCTCGACATAACATTACCAGAAAAAATAATTGATACTACATGGATATGAGTGAAATAAAAGCATGCATAATTCTAAACATATGCAAACAGGACAAAATTATTCCCTGCAAATAAATTATTAAGTAAACCCTTTAACTCTCACATCAAATCCTTACTCCAAACCATACAATTCTTATAAGGTTAGTTCAGAGAATTTACAGTAATATTGGATCAACTAATCATCCCCAAATTTATACATTTCTTTACTCTCATCACTTCTCTGGTTGATATTGTGTTGATATTGTAAGGAGAAATTCTGTCTTGGTCACTCATGGCAATTAAAGGGTTAATACAGATTGACAAAATGAAGGCAAGTTTCAAAAATGAGAGAAAAAAAAAGAGCAGCAAGTCCTCCTACCTTGTATAGAGTTTCCTGGGTTCAAGAAAATAACCCTTGAATCAGGGATAAAGTCAGAAAGTCTGAAAAGACAAGCAGCAGAACAACAGTTACTATATATCAGTTATGAAAGACAATGATGGTCACAAATAAGGGCACTAACAGGTGCCCCAAGGTTATAAGTGGTATTAACGGCAACATTATATAATTGTATCAAAGTACTTTCTTATTGTCAGCTGAGTTGATAAATAAATGTAAATTTGCCTCTGCCATGAGGTTAAAAGCTGACAATTTGTTTGCTCTGACAAAGGGCTAAAACTCAAAATGTCATCTTTTTAAACCTTATCAACTCAACTGATAATACTAAATTATCCTGGTATACTCTCCCACCAAGGCAGTACCACAGTTCCCTTAGAAACTTATACCCCCTTTATTCATTTATAATTATCAAAAGTCAACTAGAATTAAAAACAACAACAAACAACAACAACAACAAAAACAACAACAAAAACCTCCATGATTCACAAAGGCTGACCAAATGTGACCCTCCATATGATTTCAGGGACAAAGATGAGAACACACACACAACACATCAACACATCGTGCAGATTGCATAACTTTAAAATCTAGTTGTATTCCTTATTCTGTATTTAGATTTTGTGTTTGAGGTAAAAACTTCCTGTTATGGACATTACACAATTTTTGTTACGGACATTACGCTGTGGAACTTTTTCTTACACTGGTAAGAATAAGGGAATATTTTTATTTATTTAATATGAACTTTTGATAATTGACTTTGTCAGAACTGATAAATTTATCCTAATCAGGCTCAATTACAAGTTAATTCTCTTTTTTGGTTCAGCTGATAATCATAACATCAATACTAAACTTAGGTGTACATGTAATAGTGGTATCTAGTATTCCATAAAGAGCATGCTCCTTACGATTCAGTTTTAATGAGCATGCTCTAACTAGTGTTTCTGCTGTCTTTTGGTTCTTGCTTTCTGGTGCAGATTTCTAGTGTGACACCAAGTTTTACATTGGAAGAGCCCTTAGGGTTACTGATAATGAGGTTGAAATCAAATTTCTTCACCAAGTTGTCAAAACATTTAACTGGCCTGTGAGAAGCAATATTGATATTGTCCACAAGAGAAGAGTCTTCTATGACTCCAAAGAGCTTAAAGGCACTGGATGTTTCCATGTTCCAAGTCTTTCATATATCAAGAGGCTTTTAAATATCTTCAAAAAGAAAATGTTTTCAAATAAATAATCAAACTAGCTGCAGATTGCGGTAGTTAAACACTGCTTTAATTACAAAACTTGGATTGTTCTGAACTTTTTGTAAGAGTACTATTCATTGACTCTTAATAAGCCAGTTGATACTATTTTGGAAAGTTATACTGCACTGAACTGCATGAATTGACAACTTTCTCTATAGTATTATCAGTGCAATGGCCTTTGAAAGTTGAAGTATTGCTTGTTTTAAGCATTTCTGAAACATTGCATGCTATATTTTAATTTGTTATCTTCAGATATTATAAAAGAAGGTGCTGACTCTAAATATACATGTATGTCTCAGAAAACTTAATTCACACTTGGACTCACACTTTTTGAAAATTTATACTCATGTAAGCGTGGTGTTACTTCTCCTAATCAATGTACAGTTGTTGTTACAGTTATTGTTAATGGTGTTTAGTTAAAAGCACTGAAAACTTGGATGTGATAAATTTGAACAAAATTGGTATGCATATAGCATTTATTTCTCCAAAGAGAATTACCATAATTAAAGTCATGCAGTCATAATGTCCATAATATAATATGTCTATAATGTGATGTCTGTAATGTAATGTCTTTAATATGATGTCCATTACATGAAGTGGGCTTTATGTTTTCATGTGTTTTCCAGGATTTCAATAATTTATAACACTCAAGTTTAGGCCCCTAGAAAGTAAAAAAGGAGCCGGGCTGACAAAAAAAAATGGTTTTTAATTTGAGAGAAAACAAAAAAGAGGACTGGTTTTATTATGGACATTATGTAATATCCATAACAAAGTAATGTTACTTGCTCTCATTTACACATACAAAGTACACCCATTTTGGAAAAGATCTTATCCACAAGGTATACTGGTCATTACTGGTCATTACACCTGTAACAACCAAAGCAACTTTCTAATCATTACATGCATTTCAGCTGCAAGGTCCATCATAATAAGACATGGTGTCAAACACTATTGAAGGATGACAACATTCAATTTATACTCCTGAGCGTAAATTCAAAGGATTGAACCACTGGTTAAAGATTGATGCAAATTTACTTAGTGGCCTATCTTGCTACTTTAACATTATATTTTATATTCAAAGCAAACTGATATTCATGAAAAAAAAAAAATAGCCCATAATAACAAACATTTTTCATTCCCATGAGAATGAGACACAAAAAATCCTTACATATATATCTTATATTAAAGAGGGAAAAATGGAAAAAAAAAACATATATACCTACCCTGTTAAGATTTCCTGCCTTCAAAAAATCACAATATGAGCAGTCAGAAAATGATGGACATGTAATAATTTCTGAAAAAGAAAAACATAAAATAAATATTAATCAAATGTGAGAGATATTGACCATCACAAAAATTCCATTTAAGGTGCTATATTTATTCCTTTAACTCCCATGAGTGACCAACACCAAATTTCTCCTTACAATCAACCAAATAAGTGACAAGAATTAAGAAAAATATCAATTCAGGGATAATTAGTTGATCCAATACTAAATCCTCTGAACTAACATTATAAGAATTGTATAACTGACAGTAAGGAGAATTACAAATTGGATCTGGGAGTTAAAGGGTTAAGGCAGTAATTGTTGCTATTGAACAGTGTAATGAACTGAAGAAAACTTTAGGATAATCTGAAAGACATAGATGACATAAGGCTGTTTCACTCGATCATGCTCAAAAGGGGTTGTTAAAAAATAATTGAACTCAAGAGGAATCCTATAATGGTAAAACCTTCAGATATTTCAATTAATGGATACTGCATGTGTTTGCTATTTTTAAAACACAGCAGGTTGAACTGGGAACTGAGGATAATATATAAATATAATATATAATATGTAAATATTTCATTCAACAAATTGCCAAGGAAAACTTCAATAGTTTTTGGGAAACTTAGCTTTGAATCGGCTGTTGCATAATTTAACATCTGCAGGCTATTCAGTGGTCCCTGTTACTACTAAAGTAAAGCTATATGCTAAGGCAAAAAGAAAGATTGCTTTGGAATTAGAGTTCAAATGCTCAATAGCCTCTTCAGTGCACACTGAACCTCATCCGCCATTTTCTTTCCATCCCACCCTCCTCAGTGGTTATTTGTTATGGAAATATTCCCTATCTTTTGGGTTTTCTGTATAAGAAAGCCTCTCTGTTAATATTATGTTTTAGCACCATTAGATTTATCAGCTTATATGCATCAAATGAGAGTCACACTTTGTGGAAAATTAGTTGACTATAACCGAGACTGCACGATTTGTCCCAAACATTACTTGTGGTCAAATGTCCTATGGTTTATCAGATTGAATTTAAAAGCACAATAATTTTGTTGAAAAAAATATCATCGATAAATAATGCCTCAGTCGAGTTCTCGGAAAACATGTCATTGAATTAGAGAAGGCTAGTCATTCTCTAGCACCGGAAAACGAACTGTGAGTAAAGGCTTTCGCTTTCAGTTTCCTGTCGCCTTCGAAAATAGCAACTTCCGCCTAGACTGATACGTATTGCGTGTTCCAATCTTCACTAAAGCATTTCCCTGTCCCGTTAATCTAGATCAGAAACGACTGCTGGAAGTAAAACATCTGGTCTGAGTACAAAACAGACCCTTACTAAAGTATGAAATTCAAATAAAGTGTCCTTTTAGTGCGCATCAATTCATAATTCATGAATCTACTTACCTCTAAGAATGGCGCTTTAAACGAAATAATTACACCCGGGGTACGTGTAGAGGGTACGCAATCGACCTGAAAAGAGAAAAAAAGTAGCTTATGTATCAGTTATATCTTCACCATACGCTTATTTCCAAAGGCTTGTGTTAAAATTTTCGTAATCATAAGCATTTACGCGAGTGAAATACCGTAAGTCAACAACGAGTTATTGAAGTTTAAGTTAAAGTTACGGGGTGAATAACTTTACTATTTTGTCTGTACCTGCTCTTTCTTCGCGTCAACTCTTGTCATGAACAGCAATGTGAGTTTAAACCGATTTGTTTCCTTGTTTCCTGATCTTCCGTCGAGAGAACGAAGAAAGTCATAAAAGGTAGGTATTCTAACAGACCCAGAGAAGGGAGTTGTTTATGACATGCGCAGATAAGATCATTCTGAAATGAAATATAACACCTAAAATCGAGTAACACCATCACGCAATAAAACTAACTTTGCAATGCGTTTCTCGGCCTCAGGAAGAAACATCGTTCAAAAAATTGCAACGGCATTCTTTTAACGTTCACATGAACAATAAGCAACCTTTTTTCCACCAAAGCTGGAGACGAGTGACGCGTGATTCACTTCATATCACCTCTTGCTACAGGTCACGCATGTTGACAAGACACGCACGGCAGATTTCAAATAGCATTTTATTGCCAAAACCACTGACGAGTGATGCGTTCGTCTTCTTACGTTTTTAAAATTTTTAAAGGCCGGAATCTTCCCCTTCCCCCCTCCCCACCCCCCCCCCCTCACCCCTTAAAAACACGGCCAGAAACTCTCAACTTCGACGCTCGTAGTTGCCACTTAATCCCAATAAAAACCTCCCTCCTTCTCATTACTAATTGTTGGAGTCTGATCAGCAAAGCTAAACTGTAAACCGAGCCTTTGAGTCTGTTCCTTTGACGTCTCCATCATCAACCCGGCCAAAGACTAGCTAGGCGAGAAGGACTGACCTAGATGGACCTGATCAGAATATTGTACGCAATCAACACATGGACAGAGAGTCGGATGGTCCTGCGGGGATTAAAGAAAGGAACTCTGCGACTGATTTTAAATTTATGCTCTCAAATATATTTTTAAGCTGACGCCTACAAAGGAAAAGCATAAAGTTTTCAAAATAAATACTTCATAAAGCTCTACTAAAGAATTATTGACCTTATTCCTATAACTTAAAATTTATCTGTGCAAGCTCAAATAGTGAAGATAAAATCTGAATTGAACCCCGAGTCAAACACTCAGAAAGACTAGCTTCATGTTGTAAGGCGCCGGTCATTTTTTATCGCCTATGGGGGGGCTGGAGGATTTTGGTTGTGCCACGACTTAATTTACCTGCTTCCCCCATAATATACTTATGATTCCTCATTGACAGTCAATTGGCGGTCAATTTTCTATGGTCCCCCTTAAAACTCTGTTAGCGACAACTGATCAGCCTCCGTTCATTGTAAACCATGTAAACCCCATCCCCCACCCCCCCCCCCCTCAAAAAAAGGGGAAAAAAAAAATGAATCGTCTCTCACCCGGTGATAAATAAAGTGTCTGGTTTCTAAAACTCTTCACATAACTCAATTTTGTGAGTCTTTGTAAAAATTTACTCGTGCTTATTTATTCCAAATTGAACTCGAAATCAAGTGTTACCTCTACAAATTCAAATTGGTTAGCGTCTAGTTGACTTTGATTGCCTCAACGATAGATGTAGTTCCAGCATCACTAATACCATTGCTACTCAAATTCAAATTGGTCAGCGTCTTGTTGACTTTGATTTCCTCAGCAATAGATGTAGCGCTGGCTTCACTCATACCATTGTCAGACAGATCCAAATTGGTTAGTGTCTTGTTGATACCACAGCTACACAAATTTAAATTGGTTAGCGTCTTGTTGACTTTGATTGCCTCAGCAATAGATGTAGTGCCGGCTTCACTCATACCATTGTCAGAGAAATCCAAATTGGTTAGCATCTTGTTGCCTTCGACGGCGTCAGCAATAGATGTAGCGCCGGCTTCACTCATACCATTGTAATACAAATTCAAATCGGTCAGATTCAAACAAGTTCCAAAAGAATTTGCTAACCGTGATTGAAAATCACTCTTTTGTCCTTCACATTCGTTAATGGCCTCCAATACAACTTTTAAACCACTGCCTTCATTTCCGTTGACTTCATTTGTTAAACTCTGTACAAGAGCCACGACTTGTTTACCGCATTTCATGGCTAAAATTCCGCACGAAAACAAAAGTACCTCTTCAAGTTTAACAAAATACCTTGGATCGGAGACTTGTTCGAAGAATGCTGCAAAGAATTCTTGAAAACTTTTATGCAAGAAATCCAAATTCAGTCAAGTCTTTTGCATGGTTTCCCAATTCACTTTCATTCAAATCCAATTTGTCGTTGAGTAAACCATTCAACGCTACTAACCCGAAGCGATTCAATTGCGGTTTGTAAAGATCTGTCAGTTCTTCTTCCGTTTCTAATAGTCCCTTCTTTTTTTACATTTTCTCAAGACACATTCAACCATATCCAAGTACAGTTGAGCTAAATCGTGCCTTTTTTTAAAGTAATTGGTGACAAATCCTCCCACATGGTCTTCAGAGAATCCTCCGATCTGAAGCAGCGTGTCATAGCATTTGCTCACCTCTTTCCCAGCTTCTTGTCTTCCTGTTGCAACTATTTGGCATCTGGGGAGTAGTCTTTCTTCAATTAATTCGGAAAAAATCGATAATTTACTGGATGGTTACTCATCCAATCCATCCGATATTAATAAAATGATATTTTTGTTTGACTTCTTTATCGATTTCTTGCGGGGGCAGAAGCTGATCATCAATGGCCTCCCAACATCAGAATTCATTTCTCGACATTTCGGCAACAATACTTCTTTGAATGCTGTGGTACCACGCAGCAAAACATTTGAACTTTAGGGTATAACGTTTTACTAATTTAACCAAATGTTTGTCTCAGTAGGAATATAACTCTTAATTCGTACACTCGAATCGTGAAATTGAGGTCAGGATATTGAAACGAAAGCTGTCGTTGATCACAAGCTTTACTCTGTTCCAGTTAAACAAAACACTAAATCAACTTGTTCACAAAATGTTTCGCTTGCCTATAAGTTGGAACTCAAAGACACCTGAATGCTTGTGTAGTAAGTATTGTATGTCGTACCCTTAAACGTTTCTTCGATCGTAGATTAATGTATTTTGTGTACAGCTGAATAAATTACTTGCGTTGAATTTTCATTCAGCTTCGGACCTAACTTAACCGTAGCTTGTATGATTCAAGTTTTGCCGTTTTGACGATCAGAAATGATATTAACTTCAGGTGGCTTTAATTTGTAGAAAAATTGAGCGTTAAAATGGATTACCAAAAGGTGAAAAAATTTAATAACTCAATAATTCTATTCGCTCTTGTTTCTGACTTTAATTGAAATTTTGATGTCTAGAAAAGCCAAAGAAGTGTCGAAAATTTCCCAGGTATATTTCAAAGCCAGGCGAAATGAATTGATAACAGTTATTAATTGAGTCAGCTCATCTCTGGTAGAGGAGGTGGCGATGATACAGTCGTCGATGTAGCGACCGTAGATTTCAGGTTTGGGGCCGTTGTATTGACTGAAAAATTGGTGTTCGATAAAACCTACGAAACAATTGGCGTAGCTGGGTTCCATTTTGCTTTATTAAAAGCAATTAACTTTTCTACCCCGCATTTTTTACCCCATGGCTCGGGTGTCATCTTTCCTTGAATGTTTTCTTCAATACACCCATTTCATTTACATAACGATAAAGCAAAAAGACCAGAGTGTCTATTAAGAAGCTTTTAACAAATCCTATTTTATTCCAGCGTCAATCTGAACTACATATTAACCTAGCAATTTTTTTCTGCTTCGTGAAGCCTCTGAGTTTGGGTTTGAGTTTGGGTTTGGGTTCGATCAAATTCTTGATCCACATATTTTTTTAAACACGTGGAATTCAACGTCTCCCTTTTACTTTCTTTGGCTACACAGGTTTTCTGATGGGGTCAATTTTTTAAATCTAATTGACAGAATGAACCGACAGGAATCTAGAGGTAACATTTCATCTGTACAAGCTCATTGGTCAAGTCGTGCAGTAAATTATTCCATAATTTCCTGTTTCTGACTTGTTGGATACGAGATCGGTATAGCCAGTTCATATCAGGCGCGGGCTCATGGAACAACTGTTAAATATAGTGCACATATTATAATAAGTATATACAGTAATTGTACGAAAGACAAAGGTTCTTTGATCACGGCTTACGTCCATTTCTTAGGCAAGACCACTGAATTAAGAAAAATGTGGGGACTTCGATTCATTAACCGGTTCTAGGCGTTCATTTAGTAAAACAGAACGAAATAAATGAACTGCGCGATGGTACCAACAAAACAGTACGCGACCCAACCCACCCCTGGCCCGTTTTTTTCACTCAGCTGCTATCATCGCATCATTTACTATAATTACACTTTGCATTTGCAGGAATTGTTCGTGAAAAGTTAAGTGGTTTTTGCAAAGACAATACTCTGGACGCCAGTAATAGCAATGTACACTGTATGTCCCGTTACAAATCCATTTATTTCCTCTTTCACGACAAAGCGCAGTTTACGTGACGATAACTACCAATAATTCCCAGAGCACTAACTTTTGTTGACTGTACCAAAATTGTATGGTCAGCACCCTTTCTCATTATTTTATTGTTTTATCCTCTCCAGGCTACTCGAGAGAGCACTAACGATTTAATAAACATCTCCAGGGGTAAAACCTGTGCATTTCAATGGTAGGTGTTAAAATATCATCACACTTTCGCGATATGCTCCTGATTGTGGCGACAAATCCTAGGAGATAAAATTATTTACCTGCATAAATCAGATCTTAAAATTTAGCTTCTTTTGGTCTTATCATACCATGTATTTCACAATTTCTCTACATTTCGTTTCCCGTAGAAAAGTTAGGAAAAAGTCATTTCCCTCTGGGCAAAAATCTTCAAAATTTTATATACAATTTTCAGCAAATTCATCTCTCAAAGCTAAGACGATTGCACAAGTAATGTGCCAATTATAATTTTTATTAGGATAAGGCTAATTTTTAATTAATAATACTTTCAGTGTAAAAGTATTTCGAGTTAGTATCGCAGGTAGATGCGGTGTTAGGGAAAGCAGTTTATGCGCGGGATAGCTTTCCTAAAACCAAGCGGGTTTTGCGGCAAAACAATATTTTAGCAATTTATTAAAACTGCAGACAACTGCGGCACACAGAACGAGATCTCATCAATCTAGTTAATTGGATATTTTCCGCACTATCCTGCCTTTCAGAATTGAGTCAGAAAATAAACTGAACTCCAACGCTTATATCGAGCATGCGTGTAAGTGCTAAACATGTAAAAGAGAAATGAGAGTATACTTTATCGGTAAACTGATAAAAGCGTTATAGCGTTTAAGAATATAAAATCAATTGAGTTATAACGTTCCAGCCTAATTGCTTAACACAAAATGGCTTTTTCTACCACGTAAGCGTGTGAGGAAAAGATGATTCAGCCCTGAAACTTGTTGTGGCAAAGTGTTCAAACTGTTAGCCGGTCATATACCGCGGAAATCTATCTAACTACACCATTAAATCCTCGACGTTTGCATACAACTGCTTGTCGTACATTGTCATGTTGATCAGCTTCTGCAGAAAAGAATAATACAATAATCGGCATCATTAAAAAAGTGTTCCTCTTACGTTATAAGCGTTTATCCTCCCAAGTGGTCAGCTTTTCGCACCAAAACAAATTCAAGAAAGTATTTTATGGTGTCGTTTGCTGCTCTTTGTGCGTCTCAATACAATTTTGCAATAATCCTACCATATTTTAAATAACCATAATGAGTCAATTGTCGCAAGGATATTCTAGTTCGCTTCCTCCTTGTTTTTCGTGGAGTGCTAGCTTCAGTGACATAACAAGAAGATGCAATCCCAACTTCGTAAAAAGTACGCTATCTAAGCTAAACGCTATTAAGTTTAAAACCCTAATTAGCTAAGCCTAAGTTAGTCGGTCTAACGTGAAAAGAAACTTCCATGTTGAAGAAAATTCTCACCTTGTGTAGGGTTTCCATGTCCTTGAGCTGATTTTTCAATTCAGTAAAAGGTGGTCTTGCATCTGGGTCATTCTTCCAGCATTTCATCATAATCTGATACCTGGTATTGTTCAAATTATCTATTAGAAATTTAAAGAACGTTTCCTTGTAGGATGAGAGAGAACGAATTGAAAAAACACTTACAATTCCTCATCAACGTGTTGTGGTTTAGGCATCCTGTATCCTTCCTGAAGTAAGTTTGCAATTTTTCTTCCATCCATTCGTGGGTAAGGTGAACCACCTGGAAGAGCCATAAGACCATCGAAATATAAATGTGACGAAAAAACGACCTTCACTGAAACACCACCCATGTCATTTGATGTAGTTTGAAGCTCTTTACGTTTGTCTAAGTGAACACCTTACATTGCTTAATTGAACATGGTATATAGCAAAAAACATATACAGGGCCTTATAAATTTCCATTCGATGTTACCTATGGTAAAAATCTCGTACAGCAAAACTCCATAACTCCATCTGCAGAAAGACAAATCAAACAAATATATATTGGGTGACTGAGGACATAAACATTTTATACGACAACTAAAATATATGTATTCTTTGACAAAGCATAGAATTCATGTCCTGATTGAAACTGATAAAACTTAGAGAAAGATGTTTTTCGTCTTGTCACGATTGTGGGACGAAGGAAAAATTTTGAGTCCCCACGAGGAATTGAACCTCAGACCTTCGGATTCCGCGCTCCGATTCTCTCTCTTATTTTTATTTACAAACATGACTCTATCGACATTGCTGATCCTTGCAGTATGCAGGACGCGTGTCATATGAACTAAGTAATAAATCTAACTCACCGTAGAGTCTCTGTGGCTCAGTGGTATGAGCATCGGAGCGCGGAATTCGATGGTCTGAGGTTCGATTCCTCATGGGGAGTGAAGAATATTTTCATTGTCCAACGCTCGTGAGAGGATGAAAAACATCTTTCTCTATTTCTTTACCGAGCCCAAAACTTACCCTTCCTCTTATTCTATTGGTAAAACTTGTTGGAAAATTGCTACGGGTAATAATCGGGTATACTTACACATCACTTTTGGTGGTATATTTACCATACATCAAGGCCTCAAAAGCTGTCCACTTCACTGGAAGACGGCCCTAAAGATTTCAAATATCACTTTTTGAAAGAGCTAAAAAATTATAGGAAGCGACCGGTCAAAGACAGTGATATTTAAAATTATACTCGTATACAAATGGCTGTTTTCATTATGGTCCCATCCAAGGATTTTGTCATCGAAATCAGGAGTATATCAGCTTTATCACAACAATGATTGTGAAAGATAATTAAACTGAATGATATGTAGTACCGCCCCCACCTCCCCTCTTTCTTGATTACCTTAGTCTTTCGTTCATAAATATTTTCCTGCTGCACATCTCTGGCCATTCCGAAGTCTGTCACTTTACAAGTTTCCTTTTGTCCAACCAACACATTACGAGCCGCAAGGTCTCGGTGAACGATCTAAGAAAGCATTGATACGAGAGCAAAAATTAGCGATTTCAAAAGAAAAAGAACTGAAATGAAATGATTCAGATAGGAAAATAGAAATAATATGGTGTGTGTATTTCTCTTTCTTCCAGATGGCAGAAAATTAAAATTACTATAGTTACTGCTCCATCTTCCAAAGGGAAGCAAACTACTTCATTTCTGCAACACCTAATTATTTCATAGAAAGCTTATCTTAAGATTTTATTCGAAATAGGATTCTGTAATGTAGCAGTTTAGCAACCAAAGACGAATTTTTGAATTTCAAGTTTTAATTCCTTTTCTTTCTTGTCACTAAAATGGATATTCGTTGTACACTCAGTTTAGGCTGAATAAAAGATCCTATTCATTCACATCTCTGCCTTTGCCTACACGAGAAAAACCCAGATATTTAATTTCGATGAGGTGCACTTGCAGCGATGCACAAATATCGCCATTCGCACACTGAAATATAACTTTGGTGATGACGTCAAAACCGGTAGGGTTCCCGGAAACAGCCTCAACGAGACGGTAAGAATACGTTTGCATATCCCGGGCGTGATCTTGTGAAGACATATTATTCTATGCAAGACATAGCTTCACATGACGATACACCTTACAAGAAGGTTTTAAAATTGTTCTTCTTTGGTGCCTTTGTAATTAACTTACAGATTTTGAGGACAAATAACTCATTCCATCAGCAATTTGCCAAGAAAACTTCATCAACTGCTGTGACGTCAGATTTGTTTGTGGTTTGATATCCGGGTCTTTGAAGTAAGTGTCTTTTAATCCACGGCTCTTTCTCAGGTAACCCAGCAGATCCCCAAAAGGCACATATTCAATCAAAACCAGCAGCTGTTCTGAAGAAATTAAACAGTTTCATTTATATATTTCTCCCTCTAAAAAAATTAGCAATAAGTAAAATAAATAAATGGCACAGTCAGGTTCAATACTTTTGAAGAAATCGCACGAAAACAAGATGTAGTTTTACGAAGAAAAGCTGAAAAACTTTGTAACGGTCTCATAAGAAGATACAGGCCAAATATTCCCTTAGAAAAAACGATTCTGCTCATACAACAGAATGCCTTGTACAATGGCAAATATTTTGTCTTCGTCTATCGGCAAATCCAAGAGCGTCGCTGTTAGCTAAAAAAGGATAAAATTACCATATGCGATGGTTGTTTGTTGTGCGCGATTGTGAAGCAGTGAATCTTCCATTGAAGAAAATTATCAATGACGAGAAAGCGTTACAGAGTAAATCAGATGCAAAATGTGTACAGCAAAATTGGACCTCATAATCAAAGCTTACCAGATTCTGTAACGCATCCCAGAAGTTTAATGACATAAGGATGTGGTTTCAGCTGCTTCATTGTGTCAAGTTCTTTCATCAAATCTCTCTTGTCCGATTCAGTAGCGTTTGCTGGAGCGTTAAAAACAAGGAGTAAAATTTGGTTAACGGGAATAATATGCAAAATGTCGAATAGCGACATAAGTTATCGAATGACAAATAGCCAAAAGTTACGTAACCCGGTAACAGTATATGACTGTAGGCCAAGACTGTCATTCAATTTATAGTTCAAGAACTCACTTTTAAGCATCTTAATAGCCACTGTGGTCGTTTCAGGACTCCCTTGAAGTCCTACTGCTGTTCCCTTGGCAACCTGACCAAAAGCACCTTTACCAATAATTTTTTCTATGGTCACGTGATGTCTTGGAACTTCCCAGCAGCGTGTTAACGGATGAAGAGGCACGTAATCAGCACCTGAAGCAGTACTTTGTGCTTTTCTGTCATGTTTGTTGACTTCTATGAGATCCATGTATTCCGCAGGAGGCTGGGTGAGTTTTGCTGAATCGGGTAGACTTGGTTCGCTATCTTCTAATCCTGTTTCAGTCTATTAAACCAACATGCCGTTAAGGTATTCATATACAAATCTGTTATTGGTAGTGCAATTTTTTAACAAATGCACACACGAAAAAAAACTCTTGCTGTACTAAGCTCCTGGACTAACGCTTTGAAAGTAAGGCATCAAGACAAACAGACGGCCAAAACGGCGATAAAAAAAAATTTAAAAAACAAAAATATCAACCGGGTGCAAACCAGTTTGCGATCTATGAAGTGAAACCACGCAGTTGAACTAGAAACAACCGAAGGAAAATCCATGAAGTAGCTTGGTGAATGACATGATCCCAGGACAAAGACCCTATCGAGTCAAAGTTGTTCCTATATTTTATTGTACCTGTCACTAATGCATTATGCCTTTTTTTGTAGAACTAAACCTTTTTTCCTTCCTATTTGATGTAAGCGTTTATTTCCTTCTAGAGAGTAGAGGTAAAGTGAGATTACATAATTACTGGCCACACTAACATGACCTCAACGTCTTGGCTGTAACTTACGTAGGAAACACCTCTTTTATCTTCATAAGTCCTACAATTTAGAAAGCATACAAATAATTATGACGAGCTGAGAATTGCATCAGTTTTAAGTGGAAGTTTGTTATAAGATGATACCATATCTGTTACATTACATCGACACAATCCAAGTGGCAGCAAATTCTTACCTCTGTTTCCCTACAGCGCCTGAAAAAAAACGAAAGGAAAAAAAAGACAAATGATGTGGATGTGGGTCAAGATTTGCTTTTGCTTAATAATGAATCTTGCAGCCAAACCCTCTATCATAGATTATGAATTTTTTACCTACCTTTCTTATGTAGCCAGATTATGTAAATAATTAGAAGAACGATTATGAAGGCAAGAACCCCATTTATGGCTAACGAGACGTTGTTAGATGGGCAGTTACATTCCTCAGGACCTAAAATGATTCAGTTTACAAAGTCTGATCAGGTAACATTCACACAACATTTACAGTGATCGTGGTCAATACACTGCTCTCACTACATAGCTTACGCTCCTAAACGAAAACCGTTAACTCTTATTTGCTAGGCACTAAGGAAAAGCAAGATGCTACTCTCCCTATAAAAATGTTTAAAAGTAAGATTTTGTTTAATTAAATAAAAACAACAACAGCGACAAAAACAAAACTTGTTTGATTAAACAGATACGGAATACAATTTGAAAAAAGTCCATCTTAGGACGAATTCGTGTAAACATTTAACAATAATATTTCTTTGTAAAATTTACCTTTTGTTGTGCTTTCCGAGCCATCTGTGGGTATAAAAACTTGTTTAATTGATTCTGGATCGACTTTAAAACCTCCGAATTTATCTTGCCTTGCAGCATCTAAGAGGACAGTCAAAACATTGCTGACGACTACACTTCGATTGAAGCTCATCATGAAGTCGAGAACAACACTGCCACACCTAGGTAAGGGGAGAAGGATATAAAATGCCGAATCGAACACCGTGCCGAAAAGAGCAAGACACATAAGTTATGACTGATTATACAGTCGGTATTAAACAAAACAAAATCGTGGGAAGAGTTCATTTAGGTTTGAGAGTAGTTTCTTGATCCGCTTTTACATTCTTCACCTATTCAAACATTTTTCAACTTTGGAGAATAGAACTACATTACCTCTTCCTAATATTTGTTTTATCTCTCCCATGAAAGCTTATTACGATTACAATACAAAGCCATTTGTTACAATAAATAACATTTTCATTATAGGACCTTGTCTTTGTTTTGTGAAAAAAATTGTCGCTACCTTAATTTAAATAACGTTACTTGAGTAATAGTTAAACAGGTTATGAATTAGGAGACCCGCAGTACTTAAGTTACGCAACGTTACTCTTGGGGATACTCTTGTGGTCTGTTTTGACGTTTTATAAAATGAGTAGCCTAAAGATTAGAAAGAATCCAGCACCAAACAAAGTATTTTACCGAAAGGACAGCATTTGCAGTGAGAGCAATTCGACGAAGGCGTACCTTGCGTGACAAAAACTGAGTAACCACACGGCTTCAATTGCATAATCAGTCATAATTTATGCATTGTGCTCTTTAGGGCACGGTTCTCTATTCGGCATTCTATTTGTAGTTTGGTGACTTTTAAGTGTTAAAATACATTGAAATTTAACCAAAAGAGTATTTGTGATGTAATAAACCGAGGTAAATAAAATGAATTCATGTCATTCTGTGTCAATCTATTGCTGTACATTAAGTAACATGTACTTCAAATTTAGATTATTTTGCATTAGATAAGATTTTTTTAGAGCAAAAACACCAATTTTAAAACTAAAATACGCCAAACTGAGAGAAAGCTCCTCCCCACCTCAGAACACAGATTTGCGTTAGCGTTTATTGTTTCAGTGTTGAGACAAACTGCACCTTACCTGGTGTTCACGGTGTTGGCGGATGAGCAGCCAAACTTAAAGGCAATTTGACAAGCCTATAAGGACATTTAGAGAAGAAATGTAAATTCGAATAATTGTTTCGTAATTGAAGATCGATCGTTTTGTTTTTACAGAAATATTGAGATTTCGTTTAAGAGCAGATTGATTAAGATTCCCTTTTAATGATAAACTTTATGGCAGTATTCTACACACTCCGGTATATATAGAAGATTATCTAACCATTTCTGGAAATTTCGCGGCAACTTCTGAACGTCTGCTACAGTTCCCCTGTATTGTCGCTGTCAGGTAAACTTCTGTGCTTTCTGAAGTTAAAGAAAAGCCACGTCCTTTTACATTTACAAAAATTGCTGAGAAGTGGTTCCATCTAACAACAATTCTGCTTGAACATTGTCCAAAAATCCCGGCAGAGATCGTTCTGACAGAGTGTGCTACTAAGCCCGAGAGTAAACTTATGTTTTAATGCACGCAATAGCATGAATATGTTACGATTAGCCTCGTTCACAATGTTTTAATATTTGATACAGAAACTTGTAATATGTGTAAGTAGGCCCAAAGAGAGATTGAATTATATTTTTTTGAACGAGTACAATGGTTCCTCCGCCCCGCCCCCACCCCACTTGAAAAAAAGTTTTGCAGCGCCACATGAATTAAGTTATTTGTGTTTTAAGATGGCCAGCATATGCTTCAAAATATTCATTAAACCACAACTGGAAGGAGTCTTTAGAGAAATAAAAAGAATACTTTTATACATCTATAATTATGCTTATTCTTACCCCTTCCATTATGGAAGGTACAGCCTTTTACTCATAAAGATCTTTTGAGTCGCTGCATGACACCTGACGAGATTCACATAATCATATATGTTTGTATTAGAAGAGAGTAATTACGGAATAGTAACAACTTTGCAAACAAATTTTTTAATTTTGATGCAGATTTAGCAGTCTGTGTTAGGACTATTTGTGAGTCTACAGTCCTTCGCTAAGTTCCAGACTTTTAGTGACTTAATTCACTCTTTGTCTTTTACTCGAACTCATTCCGTGCTATTATGATGACATAGTTTTACATGGTGGTCAAAAGAACGCCTATAAAAAAAACACTTACCTGCGGGAGTTGTTTGGGATGAAGTGGCAACTGTACTTGAAACTGTTTGAACTGGAAAAAAACAAAATACGACTTAAAATGATCGACAAGCAATTTTAAATTTTACGTAATCATTATACCAACCTCAAACCACATGATAATAATAATACGTTAACTTAAATAATTTTTTCACGAAGGTTCTGGGTATGATAGACCATACTTCCTAAAACTGTTATTATTATTCATATCATTGTGGCCAACATTATTATCATTGATATTACTATAACTATTATCATCATTACAATTATTATCATTGTCAACACTATCACTAAAGAGCACCCAAAATGTGAGAGAACTACAAAGAGGTCCATAAAATCTTAGAACAAAACTGGCCTTTCAGTATTAAACTCAGTGGAACATAGATATCAATGGACGGGGCCAAGCTTGAAATAAAAGGTCATGTGACAAAGTGTCAAGTGTTAATATGTTAATATTATATATATTAATAATCAATTTTACTTAATTTTAAGATAGAGCCTAACGGTTTCTTGTAATATCGAAAAAAGTGCACTTCCAAGTAAAATGGGAAAGGTTTTGTAGCGCTAGGTTCGCCACAAAATGAATGCACAGCTAATCTGTTTGCCCGATAGACGAATATATAGATGTAAAGATATGTAGTTGTGTAGATGTGTAGTTGTGTACAAGTGATTCGACCTAAAATAAATAATTAACACAAATATTTAAATACAAATATAACAACAAGACCAACGACAGAGCTACAAGAAATAGAAATGACTTTTCAATTTGTGGCGTAAACAGGTCTGGTAATAAAACTCTCAAACAAAAGTAACACGGCGCTAACTAAAACTAACGAAACGACTGAATTAATTGAAATCAACAAGTAATGAGAAGTATGTAACGAAAGCAAAGCTTATACTGGCGAGAAATAAAGTGCTACCAGCACTACGTAATTCTTACACAACCTCATACAAAAGTGCGGGCTTAATTGAATTGAAACAGAACATCACAATAGTAGTTCCATTGAAAGAAACACAATATAAAATCTTTTCGCAGTTACTTGACATTGGACAGAAATGCAAATTCTCCTTGCAACATTCCAACCCCTTAAGTTTACTTCAAGTATCGGGCGACTAGAATTCAAATTATAAATAACGTAAGAGTCCCTTAAGTTAGTCTGCTAGTGTTCAAAGTTCACGCACATCTGATGCACAAATTCAAAGGCTTTTTTTCACTTTCAATAAACAACACGATAGTCAGGTAGATTAAATCGAGTCGTTCGTCGCGAGAAAGATCTCTTGTTCGAGTAAAAAAAGCTGTGAGATTGGCCTTGTGAATGTAGAGGACTTTGGCGCAACCTTGACAGATCGGATAAATCCATCCCTTTGTGAGTTAACTCCGAGAACGCGGCCCGAAGGCAACTGACGGTGGTGAGCTCTTTCATAAGGAATAAAAACCAGGTCACCAAAAGCAAAACTATGACGTGGTCTGATCCACTTCTGCCGTTCTTGCAAATTTGGTAGATATTCCGACAACTATCTCCTCCAAAATACGTCAGCTAGGTATTGACCCTACTTCCAGCGACGTTGGCAGTACAAATTGTTCTTAACAAAGACTCCTAGTGGCAGATTTCGAAGTAGGTAACAAATGGTTAGCAGTCAAAGATTCTAAAGCAATAGGACTGCAAGCCACTTTTGAGAATTCCCTCAACTCTTGCCATCAACGTTGGCAGTGCATGCCTCCCCAGAACCAACTGTTGCTTAAGAAGGACTCTTGAGATATTTCTCACTGAACGAATGATGCGTTCCCAGACTCCTACCATTTGTGATACCCCAGGAAATTAAACTTCCACTTGATGTTCTTTTGGTGTAGGAAAACTTCTATCCTCTACTGATTCCAGTTGTTTAGGGCTTCACGGATTCCTCTCTCTCCGCTACTTAAGTGTATACCATTGTTCCCTCTTATCATCTATGGCGTCCCTCTTCTGCTGATGAATCTGCAAAGAGCGCAAATAAACGAATCTTTTTCGAGAGACTCAGTCACTTCAACGTGGATTGCTCGGATAGTTAAACAAGAGAAAAAACACCATAACTTTTAACTGTACTTCTACCTTGCTTCACGTACAGTGGACCAAAGAAATCTATGCCAACGTTAGAAAACGAAGGTTTATCTGGAATAAGCCTGTCGCCAGGTAAATCTAAAATCAATTAGCAAGTAATTTAGTGTTAACAACTGAGTTGAAAACGTAAATTGGCCACCGTAAAGGGTAAAAAAGCTGACGTTTCGAGCGTTAGCTCTTCGTCAGAGCGATTGGTCCTTTGCAGCATTTTGCTTTTGGCATATCAAAGAGTTACTGAGTATTCTTCAAAGAGCTGCCAGTCTCTTGAAGATCAAGTACTTTTGTCTCAAACTGTTCCGGACATATTCTTGGCCTAGATGACTAACAGACTCATGAACATCCATAATGAGCAGCTTGGTAACCTGGTGCTTTGAAGGTAACAGCAATTGATGTTTCGATTGGTAATCCGATGAAGAATTTTGAAGCCGACCACCAACTGCAATATTCCCGCTCCATCCAGAAACGGTCTCAATCTGCACACTGAACCAAATGGGCAGATAATCTTCAATTTACCCTTCTCTGATTCTCCTGGGCTCAAGTTTGGGAGGGCTTGCACGTATGTGACGATTTGAGCCTCTGCATGTTGTAATTCGTCTATCGACAGCCTACCACAAGGAATTCGATCAACAGGGTCCTCTTGTAAGCACCTCTTGCTCTCATGGAATTGTTAAATCTGAGACGCGAAGCAACTCCCTTCTTAAACTTGAACCATAACGAATATTGCAGAACCATTAGGTCTAGTGGTCGTTTATCTTCCATGAGAGTAACATG